AAATTAGTCTAAGATGTGGAAAGCAAGCACAGATACGGCTCCTCCTGTCCTGCAGATCGGCTCTTATGCACCTAGAACTTTGGCATATCCCACAGATGATTTTCTATTACAGTATTTGTACACCTATTTGTTTATGTGAAGGAATAAGACAAACAACTTGTCCCTGGATGCACCATTGGGTACGTGAGGAGTTACTGTGCTTGCTATCCTCTATAAGTGGGTCAGTTGGAATGAGAGAGTCCACCTAATGACAGTCAAGCTGATTTCTTTCTGGTTCTGCTCAATCAAACCACAAAATGTTTGCACTGTGATCTGCAACACTGGAATTCTAGGAGGCTTGGGGGCAGGGCCATATTGGCAGAAGTCTTGTTTCACTATCTCAGTTTGGAGCTCTACAACAGATTTCATAATCCTTGCCCAAAACATGCTTTCTTGATTTTCTGTGCTTATATAAGCAAGCATGTACCTATCTAACTCCTGTCTCCCAGTGTCTGAGCTCAAGCAAACCGTTATTCTTACTTTCCTTCCTCTTAGAGGATCTCCACTGCAATCTGAAACCATAGTTACAACTGAGGAGGAAATTACTAAAATTACTGCATCATTCCACTATTGTAGCTTTCAAATGGGAATTTATATGCAAGAACAGTGATGCTCTGACAGGCAGGCATCTTTCCCCTCAGATTAGGACCATAGTCTTTGTAAAACAGCCCAATGCACATAGCATATATGAAAAGCATTGGGGTGGGGGGTGGGGGGAATTTTTTGTGTGAAGCAGTGGCAAGGAGATTTTTTGTTATTCCAGGAGTTGCTGTTACTCAGGGTGATGGGACAGTGACTGAAAAACTATTTTTGTACTTTCCTGTTGGTTGGCTGGAGTGTGCTGTTTATAATGTTCCCTATCTATTCACAGCATCCTGGGCTCACTGCACAATCAGTGTTGTAGTGCTTTGGAGGACCTGGGGAGGAGAAACAGTGCTGTGTAGAACTGCCTGCATGTTAAAAGCCTTATTCTTAGCCATGTGGAAATGGTGGAATCTTATTTTCTAAGGTGGCCTTTAATGTATAATTATGTTGCTATTTTTTATCTGTGGTTCTAAGGTCTTAAATACCTTTTATTATTGTTCCAGTGATTCCTCTATCGTATTGTACTTCTGGGCTTCTCATTATATTGTGAGTTGCCTCAATTTATATAAAGAATACATGCCATATAAACAGTGATGTAAAATACTATTTCCTTTTTAGCTATACAGCCTAATACTTACCGAACTTTTATTATCTGTGGCAGTCAAGGGTGAAAAAAAGACTGCAGGGATCAAAGATTACAATTTCAGGATAGCCTGTACTTGAACCTGATACGAGTCCAACCTCATTGTACAAGGAGAGGCAAGTTAATCTAGCTGTGTTAGTCTGTGGCAGACAAAAATCAGAATGAATCTGGTAGCCAATTTTTCAGACTAACAAATTTTATTAAAAGGCATAAGCTTTCATGGCCTTTTAATAAAATGTGTTAGTCTGATAAAGAGGTGCCAGACTTCTACTGATTTTTGCCTACCTCAGTTATTTAGAAAAAGATTTCATGGCGAAATCCTACAATATGTCAAATAATATAATTTCAAATGTGCTTTAACAATAATTATTGGAGTACCCTCAAATAAGATACAGCAATCACACAACATTTTTTTCTGCAGCAAATCATGAAAACCAGGAGCATGAAACCAAAAAGGACAAATGGGGAAAGCCCAACATGTCTGACAGGGCACAGCTGTCCTCAAAAGACATGCAATGCAGATCCAAAGATTCCAATTTGGGACTCATAAAGTTAATGGAATCTCTTGGCATAGTTTCATCTGAATGTGAAGCTGCCTTCTACCACTCAGATGAATGGTCCATGTGTGCCAGCATTGTTTATACTAGTCTTTCCAATTCTTCTCTCAATTAACGGTTGGCTCCGTTCCTCTTATCTGAGAATTTTTAGCTGAACACACCAGGAATTTATTTTTTTGCTTGTACCCTCAGCTATAGGCCTTCATATGGATTTGTTTTGTTTTTTTAATTTACAGATTCTGTCTCTCTTCTACTAAGTAGAATTTAGGATTCATACTCACGTAGATACCCCCTCCCGCCTCCAAAATGTCAGGCTTAAGGCATTTTAAGCTTTGAAGATACAGAACCAACAGAGGGACTAAGCTATAGCTGGAATTCACTGACCTATAAGAGCTGTAAGAAAACAATGCCCCCCCCCTTTTTTTTCTTTTAAGAGAGCCAGTTTGGTCTAGTGGATAGTCCAGGCTGGAAAGCAGGAGACTGTGAGTTCTAGTCCCGCCTTAGGCATGAAAGCCAGCTGGGTGACTTTGGGCCAGTCGCTCTCTCTCAGCCCAAATCACCTCGCAGGATTGCTGTTCTGGGGTAAACAGGAGGAGGAAGGAGTATTAGGTATGTTCGCTGCCTTGAGTTATTTATAAAAATAATAAAGGCAGGGTAAAAAAAATCTAAAAAAGATTACTAACAGAAATGCTAAGTCCTGTTAATTTCGTTTCATTTTCTGAGATGTAAACTTGAATAGTAAATCCAGGCAAAAATGCTTAAGAAGTTGGAATGTGAAAATATTTTTCTAAATACTGAATGAGAAACCTATCCCTATTCTCCATACGAGGGAAATTATGTATTCAAAGAAACCTGGAAAGGGTGCAGTTGATTTCTCTACCAACCTGCACACCAAGATTTATTGACATCCTTTGCATTTCACAGCACTGTGCTGTGACAACTGAATGACAGTTATTTGCAATGGCCAAGGTAATGGGGAGCTGTGGTTTTACAAAATTCAAAAAACCTCAAGTTCTCCATTTCTGACAACCAAAGCTGAGTCGACCAGTGTCAAGCACAGATGGCAGGTTTTGCCCTCAACACAACTGTATCAAACCAGGCAGGATTCATAATGCAATTTCTTTTTTTTCCTACTGTTATGTTTCCAAAACAAAACCACAGCACATATTCATGAATATAATACAATATCCATAGTGCTTTTATTGTAATCAAGTACCACCTACTAACTTATAGTGTAATTGCAGGAGGAGGTAGAATTTCAAAGCCCACATGCATTTTATAATCTATTTTTATAGCGTGAGTGCTGTCATAAGCCATGATACAGCTCTGAAATAAAGAAAGGCCACATAGCTGCCCCAGATTAATTGCGGGGGGGGGGGTGTCTAGCAACTGTATGCAGAGTTATGCAGTGGTGTAAGAATGCAAATTTAAAAATAAAGATTGTTTAGTTAAGCACAGCAGTGCAACCCTGTACAGTGAAAAACGGAAAATTCATCCCTGTGAAAAAGTGAGCAACTAAGAATCTCTTGTCTACTAATCCCTTCCCATTCACTTGTGGTCAAGAGAGAAAAACAGAAAAAGTAGTACAAAAAGTTTCATTAGTATTAGAGTCAGATAATAGTTAAAATGCTGTTACATGTGAAATATATAAAAAGTAAAGTGGTAGCATATCCAAACTATAATGTGAAAAACCATTATAAAAGTAGTATAAGAAAAAAATAGAATACTGGGAGGGCCAAGGGAAAAGTGAAATTTGAAAAAATATTTGCTGACTCCAGCTGTTGAGAATACAGCCTGTTTCTACCTATAAAATGCCATCAGGATCCAGTTTCTTGGTCATGACAAGACACTGGGAACTAGTTTCCTGCAAAAACAACTAGAACCTGCAACAAAATATTGCAGTATGGAATGCTGCTGTTCAGGATTATAGTTATGCCACTCCCTTTTCTCTTTCTTACCCAACAGTCATCATCCCATGAACTCTACCTCTAAGCATGCTCAGCTTTCACTCATTGCTTTGAGTTTTGTTTTTTCAGCCTTAGGAGAGTTCTAAAGGGTTGGATTTTTTGGGTGTGTACATGTGTGCATCTTTTTGTAGGTTCCCAAAACCTTCTGATAACTATCATTTTGCTACAGAACCAACAACACAGGTAGTCTGTACACTGGAAATATAAGGAATGATCTAGTCCAACTTTACTGACACTTACGAGACAACTGAATAGAGAATCTGTTGCATTAAAAGCATTGTTGTCCTTTATTTTTACGAACTACTCCAGCAAAAGATGTAAGTTGCAGAATTAATTGCATATCCTAACATCTCATCAAAGCAAACATTTAAAATAATTTCCCCCTCATTATACATTGAGGTGAACTAATGTGCGCTATTGTACTCATCCATGCAACAATTTGGCATCCACAATTGCTTTTGATTACTCCTCTCCCATCAAGTCCTAGATTTCAGGTCCTCAGAAACCAAGCCCTGCACAAGATTCATCCAGTTTTCTACACCCATTCTTGCTTCCTGTATTTATCCTGGCTTTAAAAAAATCCTTGTATGCAAGATGCATCCTTTCAAATATGCAAGAAATTAGGAACGTTGGCAACTGCTTTTAAAAATTCACTGTTCTTTCCTCCCCCTCCTTTTTTTTAAAATGCCTCTCACCTCTTTTAATCTGGATTTCAAATTAAATTAAAGCATTCAGGGTCTTAATTTGCCTCTTGGCATTGGTGTAATGATGAAAACATCAGGCTAGAAATGGGAAACAGCGAGTTCTAGTTCTGCCTTAGGCACAAAGCCAAACTGAGTGATTTTGGGCCAGTTCCTCTCTCTTGGCCTAGAAAGGAGGAACTACAAGCTCCTTCCGAAAATGCTGCCAAGAAAACTGCAAGAGTGAAGACTGACTTGAAGGCACAATTCTCCTTTCTGGAATAAAAGGCACAGGAGCACATCCTAGCAAAATCTCTCTTGGGTCACTCCACCGAAAAGGAAAAACCCCACAGCGGCAGGTCGTTTGGAGGCGACAGTGTGGGCAGTGTGGTGAACACACCGGCAGAAGCACATTCTCCAAAGGGTGGTCATGCTTGCTAAGAGCGATTCCACAGCACTGCTTGGCAAAGTACCACACAAGGCTACATCATTTTGTTTAACAGAGAAGAGGATACTGTATTTCGCTTACTCTTCCCTCCGGCTCCCGGCTCCCTGCAGGCTCTGGCTTACACAATCATCCCCGTGTTAGAAGCGCAGCTGCTCTGCTTGTCGCCCCTTACACAAATCGCAGGTGGCCAAGGCTCTCTCGAGGGGCAATTCAGGAGGGAAGCCCCAGGTTCGGGATCCAACCCGGATGCAGCGCAGACTAGAAGGAGCAGGTGAAACCTGCGGCCGGATAAAATCAATGGTCGCCGATAATGAATGGGCGGAGCTAGGGGGTACCAGCAGCGGCTGATTGGTGCTTTAGCTAAGAAACGGGGGGGGGAGGCTTTCTGAAAGCCGCCTGGACACTGAAATCGGATTAGTTCCCGAAGAACCGCGGCGTGTAGGGCGCTTTCCATCTCTTCCATGGGGCTGATTATGGCCAGAGCTTTCCTGGAGAAGACGAGGCTATCGCCATACGAGGTCCCTGTCCGTGATTATATTTAACCGCAGCCTCTCTTCGTCGATCTTCGGGCGGAAAGTCACCGAGGTGCCGTTGAATGGAAGTTTATTAGGATTAACTTCGAGCTGAGCTGGATTCCTGGCGAATTACATGGACAAACGGAAAGACGTTTGCCATGGCTCTTTTCTGGCAGGTTTCCCAATCTAGCCTCCTCTTGGAATTGGCTCCCTATCCAAGGAAGAACTAAGCCCGACTCTTCTTATTTTTCTCAATTAGCAGGTTCAGCAGTGTTTCTCAATCTCAGCAATTTTTAAGATATATGGACCTCAACTCCCAGAATCCCTCAGCCCAAAATGGCTGGGGAATTCTGGGAGTTTAAGTTGATACATCTTAAGGTTGCTGGGATTGAGAAACACTGGGCTAGGCGTTGCCTCCTGGGTGAGCGGTTGGTTTGACTCCTCTGACATCTCGCCATGGACGGCCGCCCAAGCCGATTCCTCCCAGAGGGGCTGGATTTCAAGCTCCAGGAGAAAACAATTTGAGGAAGCGCCAGCCTCTCCTTGGTCCGTCTGCTTCACGCTGTGTTTAATCTATTAATGGCTGATTAAATTAACTGGTAGATAAAACGAATGGGACATCTCGAGTCCTCCCTGTTAGGCAACATCAGGTCATTCGCGTCAAGGACTAGCTCAAGGTCAACCCCGAAGTTTTAAGACTGAGCCGCAAGCAATTTAACTTCTCTTTCACCAACCCTGGCCGGGGATCTTTGCTACTTACTGCACACATCGCAAACTGTCAATGGCCACACGGGTCGACCAGGAATGGGAAGGCGCCTATGCCGTGTGAAGCTGCCCTTCCCTCGATTTCTGCTCCCGCCCAGAGAGAAGCGGCAGCGAAGCTTAGAAATGGCTCAGCAGCAGCCTGTCTTTTACCAATGTTTCTCGAACTTGGCAACTGGCTGACTGGGGAATTCTGGGAGTTGGAAGTCCACACATCTTAAAGTTGGAAGTTTGAGAAACACCGAGAACTGTAAAGCTACCAACGCATATTTTTCTTTATCCAGAGGGATGCAATGTTAAAGTGCCTTAAAACGATAATAATGATAAAGATCGCATCCCCGGGAAAGTTGCAAAATGAGCGATTTCCCGCAATTAGCTGTTGCCGTCATAAAACACGAATGAAACCATCCCGCTTTAATGCCAAGTTGTAAAGAAGGAATCTCTCCTCCCGCCTCTTAGGCGGACTAATCAGCGTCCGTTCTAGGAATCCGTCCGACAAAATCGTTGGTAATACGATGATGAAGTATTTCAAGATGGCCGCGCCCAGGCTGGAGGTGTGACTCTTTTCGTTTTGCCGCGCTATTTGTTATAGTTCGGTGAGTTTTACGTATATTTTGAACAGTTATACAGCAAATAGAGGTCTTCAGATACATAAAACGAATCACCTTCAGGTTTTTGTTTTGTTAAAGAGAACTAAACATAGAGGGCCTTTTTTTGGGGGTAATATGCTTAAACTCAAATCTGTTATTATACGACTGTTGCGGTATCATGAGACTATTATAAGCTGTTTTGATGTTCTATTAATAAAGTTTTGCGTTCAGACATAATCCTAGATCCAGGTTCAGAAAGAGTCTCATTGAGTTAAAGCGGTTTTACTCCCATGTAAATAAAAATCGAATTGAGAATAAAGTTTAATCCTGAATCCACTGCCGGGGAATTAGAGCTTGATCAATCACGTTGGGATTTCTAAAATAAGTTGAACTGCAGTTCAAGAAACCAAAAATGTGATGAGTGTGATTTAACACAAAAAATCTCCAATAATTATTACTGTGTTCAGCTAAGCTCTTAGCTTCTCCCCTATGTCTCCTTTTCCTTCTGGCTGAAAAGAAGACATATCAAAGAAGAGATGTGCTTCATAGGGTCTCTAATAATTAAGTATGATAATGAAGTTAAACAAAAATAAGGATGCATTCAGAGTATTAGAAATATTTCATTTATTAAAAATATTCAAATTAAGAGATAATCTTTAAATTTATCTTTAATACATTGCAAATACAGGAAAGAAATTGGACAGATTTTTGCCAGGTTGTCATATGTACCTTGGTACATATGTACCAAGAATAGTAAACCAAAATTCTTCTGATTCTTACATGGGTGCCTGCAAGTGAAGTCAGGGGAGAGGAAATGGCATCCTGTGCATGATGATATCATTAGGTGAATGCCATGGCTTATGTACCTGTGTCAGACATTGGGACACAAGTACATAATTGTGGCATTTGTGTGATGTCATTGTGTACATATTGCCATTTTGGCAATCATGGTTTGTTATAGACACTGCTAGATTTCTGGCTTACCCCACAATAGGCAACATTTTGTTTCCTGCCAGGAGGAATGACTCAATAAACCATGACAGCTCTGTGTTTAGTTTATTTTTACATCTAAACAAGCTGTAGTCCTAAACCAAAAACCAACTTTGGTTTGTGCTCTTGCCCGAAGCAACAAACCAGAGTTCCTAGTTCTTGTAAATGATAGATACACTATAGAATAATGGTAGACAGACTTTTGAGGCCAGTTTTGAAGATGTGTGGAGGGTACACTTGTGGCTGCTATGAAAAGACCTGCTTATTCCCAAAATGGCTGTTGGAGCAGTACGGCCAGTCAAAAGATATATATTTATCAGGAGACCAATTAGCTCCCCAGGATGATGCCTGTCATTTAAGGGAGAGCTTTGTGGGACCAAATATTGTGTTGCAAATAAATACCTTAAAGCATGCTGCTTTGCTTTGCTACATGCCATCTTATTTATTTTATTAAAAGAATATATTTTTAAAAAGCAGGTAGGCACAGATTCATGATGCCTAGCCCCCCCTTTTTTTTTTTTACATAGAATTGTCTATTTGTTTAATTACTCCACTGGCAGGAGAAGTCATGCAAAAGTGATTTGTGCTTTACCAGCTTGCCACTTGTTCTGGGTTAGGAATGAATTATTGTGCTTTGTTCCTTTTAGTGAAGAATAATAGATAGCCATTTTAGAAGTTGGTTAAAGGATAGGATCAATTTACACTGCAGTTTGCATCTGAATTGCCATGTATGAGGTTGCGCTGGATGGAATGTTGGGATTCTGCAGAACAGAATCCAAAGGATGTCTATCAAAGAGAGGAAGAGAAAACCTGCTTAAATCTACAAAATTGAAATGCGTTGTGAATCTGAACACTAGAGCTTTACTGGATAGCATTAAGAATACCAAATATAGGGGTGGCAGTTGTTTGGCCCTGAAAGCTATATGTACTGGTTTGTTGCCGGATACATATGTGCACTGTGCTTATGCAGTCAAATAATGCTGTCCCAGCAACTTCCATTATATGGAGAATGGTAGGGAGTGGAGGATGAAGGTTCCCTCTGTTCCTTTTACTCGGGGATCTCTATGCAGCCTATACTGTTTGGGAAGAAAAGATAAAATCTCCTCATTTCCTGGCTGTCATTGTCCCTTCAGATTTACTAGTGGTACAATCATTGCTTTTAATACCAATTTTCTAAAATTTTATTTTGCAAGGGTTAGTTATTATTGAGTCCTTGACCTTAGAACAGCAACAAAGTCTGCTTCTAGTGTAAGCCCTTTAAGATATCACATATTATGTTGTTTTTTGTTTTGACAAACTTCAGGGCTGTCTTGTTGGGAGTAGCTAGAATTACAAGAAGCAATTCTCCCTCTTTATGTGTTACCTATGAGTATGGATTGATATATTGAATGTAGATAAGACTCAAAATCTATTTAGGCAGCACTGCATTTTCCAAGAAATCCATAGGTTGTATGTGAGGGCAATTTCTCATTCTGTTTCTGGAATAATCACCATATAATCATGATGAGCAGCCATTTAGTTTTACCCTCCCTGAATTTATAGAATCTCTCCTTAAAGCTATCAGAACTAGTGGCCATCACTATCACTTGTACCTAACTGTGTGATATTGGAAGCATTTTCTTTTCTTTCCATTTGGCTTCCTTGGATTATTCTGTAGTGTTATGCAACACTTTATTTCTGTATTCTCCATAGCACAGATAATTTATAAGTTTCAATCATGTCTACAGTATTGTTTTTCTCCTCTTTTAAAGTAAAATATGTCAAAATATGCAAATTCATTGAAAGAAATGTTTTACAACAAGTGAGAGCATATATAAAGGATTTGTTTTCATATTATTAAAGCAGCTGCATCTTTTCCCATACATAGGTGGCCACTCTGGGAGCAGCTTCTAAAGCACTCATATGAGCCTGGGAGAAAAATGTGGTTAATTTAACAGTGAATGTAGAAATGCTTCATATGTGCTTCTATACATTGTGAAGCACCTCTGATCAATGTGTGCATTGCATTTACTAATCTGGAAGAGGTGTGCATTAGTATCCTGATTTGATTGATATTTTCTATATCTATATCTGTAAAAAAGAAACAATCAGAAAGACTATGCTTATATTGTGCTACAATTCAGCTTCTCTCACAGATTTTTTTCTTTCCTACTGGCATCCCTCCTGCTAGAAAATGGAACATTACCTCTTTTTTTTCTGACCAAAAAAAAAAAAAATCCATAAATTACTAAGGTATGAAAATAGGTTTGAATAAATAGCCTTTCATGTCTCCAAAAATAAGACTTGTTCTATTTTTGAAAACAGAAAGAATGTATTACATATGTTGCTGTGTTATACAGCTTTCAAATACTTGACCAAAAAGTTTGTCATTTTCTAATAGTGTATGTTTTATGCTTTTAGGTACTTCCTGTTAATGTCTAAAGTTATATTCTAAGTACCTTTTTCAGGTACTTTTATTTCAGTAATATGTTATTGTGTTTGTTAATCTCTTCAAAATTAGACAGATAAGCCATTCTGTTCATATTCTTTCCCCTTGCTTCAAGCAAAATAAATAAATAAAAAGTCTCTTCTAGAAAAATGACAAAGTTGCTTGTGACACAATGAAACAAAAAATGTATGGGCTAAAAGTTAAGGGACAAAATTAAATGTGTGTATTATTTATTCCTTGTACTACCCACTGGGAGATAGTATGGGAAGTACTGTTTTACACTATAGTATATCTCATAAGGCTGTATAGTGCTTTGGCTTTGAAAGCAAAAAGGTGTTTCGGAGCATGGACATGTGAATTTAGCACCTGTCTGCAACTCTTGAATCCAAACACATCTTTTCCTGGAGTTACATGACAGCTGCAGAGGGCAGCCGCATAATCTCAATAAAAGGCGTGACTGTTTTATTATTATTAGCTGGCAGAAATGCTTACATTCACAGAAGCTGAAATAAAAGTGCATATTTCAGCTGTTTCCTCTCCATAACCAAGATGATGCGTAGCTCATTGGTACATAACGTGTCCAGATGTTTGGAAGTTCAATCTCATTCTTCTGCAGTGAAAGGGATGAATGATAACAGGTTAAAAAAATCCTCTTGTGTGGACATTCATCACATCTTATTTGTAAAATAGCTCCTAACTATATAGATTAAAATATGCTTGATATTGGCAGAAGGGCTTACCACTTACATTTTCTGCCTTTGCTTTTATACTGTTTGGAAGGGTTTCTTCACTTCCAAAGTATCTTGATGGAGGTAAAAATACTTTGTTAGAACTGGGAACTACTGAAGCACATGGGGTCACTAAAATTGAAATTGAATCCCTGTGGGTTAATTGAGTAAACTGTATTTAATTGTGGGTAAAAGTTTCATGTGAACATAACTATTGGCTTCTCCATAAACTCCCTAGACAGGAATAAATTCGTGTTTCTAAACATTTTACATGGACAAGTGAGCAGAGACATTCTGAGAAAGTAAAGGTGGCAGAAATCTGGAGATAGATATTACTTTGTAGTACAGTACACTTGATGATCATGCTACGTGATTAAGTATTTAATCACTTTAAATTAAGTAATTTTAACTATTAAAAGCAATAGTATATATTTACCTTCTTCCCTCAACCTGTGCAGCCAGGTTTCGGGAAGAAGGTAAATATATACTGTTGCTTTTATGTAAATAAAACTAAAATAAATAAAAGAGACCTTGGTCTAAATTTGGCCTTGGCAAGAGGATCTCTACTAGCTGTTAAGCAAAATTGCTCTGTTGTTTAACTGGCAGAAAACTGTAGCAGGTCCTTGCTCTCACATCATATTCCAAAAGGTGTGTTAAAAACAAACATGTTAATACAGGTCAGTGCTTTGGTAGGAAGCAATCTGGAATCTTATATAAACCATTCTGAATTACACAAAGGAAACATGGAGCATATGAAATAATCTTTTAAAATGAGCTAGGACTTTATCAAGTATTTGTGGATTGAACTGTAGCTCACTTTCAGGGTGAGATTTTAAGGAACATATTCAAAGAAAGTTTCAATGAAGTACTGCCTTACTAGCTAAGACAACTGGGTTGTAATCTTGTACACGTTTTTCTGAAAGTAAACTCAGCTGAATATGGAGAAACATACTTCTGAGAAAACATGGAGCCAATTGTGTGATAATATTATCAATAGTACTGCAAAAGTGAAATTAAATTTCTGCCTCACACACTCACATTTAAAAAACTGTTTTTAATAGACCTATACAATGACCTGGATTTGGGGGAAAAGGTTATTTGTGGCACCTTACGTACTTATAATGTAATTTGTAAAAAATATAACCAGGCTGCAAAGGAGATGTGTGAGTGAAGCTAGATTTCAAAATCTGGCATTAGCCATTAGAGACCAATTTTTACTGGAAAACACAGGCCAATTGTTTTTTCTTCCTGTTGTGGGTTTTACATACAAATCTTAATCATGTTTACACTTTTACTGTGTACATGTTGGGTTAGTCTGTGTGGATATACTTAGAGTTGTGACAATCATGTGAGGCCTCTTATGTATCTTATGTCCCATATATGGACTACTGCATTTTCCTTACAGTAAGGCAAAGGATTCCTCCTCCCTTTTTGCCCTATCAAAATATTTGGTTTTTACTTTGTAAACAAATTTAGTACTCACCAGGGAAAAAGCTTAAGACATTGCTGCCTCAGTTCAGATGTTTCCTAAATTTAAGAAGACTACTTGTCTTTTATGAATTGGTATTATGACTTCATGTTTGTACAGTGGGGCAAAAAAGTATTTAGTCAGCCACCAATTGTGCAAGTTCTCCCAC